AAAGAAAAAATTAAATTTTACTTAAATAAATGTTCATACAAGCGTGTAAAATATTTTCAATTTTTTAATGTAAATTTAAGTATATTATTTTTAATAATATTTTCTAAATATTTAAATATTTTTTTAGATAAAAAATTAAATTTTTTTTTGGTATATTTTTCTTTATTTTTATAAATTATAGAGCAAAAAGGAAAAAAAAAAATAGGCTTTAATAATACAACAAATGAAGTTATTTTCGTCAATTTTCCTTATTTTCAGATAACAAAACTGAAGATAGACAGCAACCCTTTTGCCAAAGGTTTTAGGGACTCATCACGTCTGACAGAACTCGAAAGGTGAGTGGCCAAACCAATGACACGAACTGCACGTGACACCGCGCAATTGTCCTATCAGAGTCGAGGTAGGCGTAACAGATGTACACTTATCTCCAACACAAAATGGCGTTCAATGAACTTAACTGAGTTTTAATAAAAATTTTATTATTATTTTAATTAATTTATTTTTTTAATTCTCTTTAATAATAATAATAAACTTAATTAATTTTACATGGTAGAAATTTTTGTTTTCTTTTAATTAATTATTATTGTTTTTTTTATTTTTTTTATTTTTAAATTTATTATTGTAATTATTTATGAATTAATTTATATGAAACTTAATGAATAGGCTGTCAATTTTAAATCGTTCGTGAGGTGTGACGTGTTAACTTTTAAAAGAAGAAACAATGCAAATTAAATGAATATTTAGATTAGATTTATTATTATTATTATTATTATTTGGTTATGTTTCGTTGCATCTGATTGGTTCTTTCATCATACAATTCCTTCGAAAGTTAAAGATTTAAATGGGAATTAAGATATAAATTTTGAATTTTATACAAAAAAAAAAATATCATATTAATCCAAATTTATACATAAATAAACTACATCTTAGGGCCTCATTCTTTTATTATTATTCGGTACAAGAGAAGGGCCTCTTATGTATTAAAGGCCCTGTTTTATACTATACTAAAAAAATTATATTAAAATATAGGCCTATAAGAGGGCTTTCCCATATATAATAATAAATTTAAAATCGTATTATTTCTTTATTAGCTTATGCAAAAATGCGACCTGATTATAGGAGAATTTTAATATAATTTTATCGATAAAGCTGAGCCTTGCTAAAATAATTTATTCTTATATTCGTATATTAAAAATTAATCAATGAAGTTTAATGTAATATCTTGGATTTATCGGATGATAATAGCTTAAGTAAATATCAAAGAGTTAAGAATCAAGGAAGACGAATTCAACAAATTTAGTTATTTAATATACAGTAGGCTACTTATAAGGACTTATAAGTAGTGTTCATTCATAAATAAGTTTACAAAGATCCTATAATGAAGGCAATCCAGTCAAAACTTTCCCCTGTTAGTGAGCTTTCTCCTCAGAACTTTCTCAAAATTGTGTTTTTAGTTCAGGATTTAATCTTTTACGTATAAAATTCATTATAAAATAACAATAAAAAAATTTATTTAGATTATAAATAATTTAACACGAGGATAAGTATAAAATTTTTAAACTTATTTCAAGTTGGAATTTAGATTAGAATTTTATTATTTATTTATTTATTTTGAATCTTCTTCACTCCGAAACAATTTTCTCGTGTGGCGGATCTGAGATGAGATCACACCCGGCACATCCCATGTTATATTAATATATTTTTAGTATCCTCAGCACGCTTGTAGTAGAATAAACTCTTTGAAAATAAGGTGAACGAACTAGGACTTAACTGAATGAGAGAAAACAAGTTAATCTTTGAAAGGAGTCCGCTGCAAAGGATGGGGTGGACACGGCCTATTTCAGACTGTCCCCATCAGTGGAAGCAACCCGATCTCTCCTCGAGACACAAGCTCGAATAAAGTTACGCCGACAGCGATGCGGTAGGTCGAGATGAGGCGTTGAAGGCTCGCTGACAGCAAAGACGTTGTAGCTATGGAAACCGTACACAGTTTTAGTTGAAAAAAAAGGGGGAAACACACGTCAGAAAAAGTCGAGAAAGTTCTTTCTCGACTGAAAATTTAATATTAATAAACTGTTACTTTTTCGGTCGTTCCCACATAGTTTCCGTTCTTGACTAAACGTTCTTCTCCCATTTATAATTATCTCACCTTTGATGGTATCCCCACAGCTCACAACCCACGTCTTTTATAGTCCAGGCCGACAGTTAATGACCACCTTAGTCGAGCAACCTGTTTCTGGCCGGAGGTTGTTATTAAGCTCTCACGCCTGCGACCTCTCGCTTTGAAAACTTTAAGATGTAATCTGTACTGGATCACACCTACGGTCCGTCCCACCACTCACCTGCCCGAGACCGTGCAGTTCTTGCATAATGATTCTCGCTTGATTCTTAAACGACAAGATATGCTGGTGAGGTAAGGCGGAAGGTGTCAGAAACCCTGTAATCTCGACTTGTGCCGGTCGGTGGTTCTACACCCCCAGACGACATTGCTATCAATGATATTACACTAAACGATTGTCAGCTGATGACTGATGGCTAAATTCAATCCGCAGGTACCTACCTACCTGCCTACCTGCTTCAACACGTGGGGAAAGCTACCCCGTCTGCATTATTGCTGAGCTCTATTTAAATCTCTCTTTTCTTAGTATGTAATTAGTGTCGAATTAATGAAAATTATTTTATTATTTTTTTCCCTCGATAATTCGGTAAGATATATGATTTTTTCCAACACTCTATCGTCCTCTTAAACGTAATTGGTTGCCTCGTGTGATTTACAAATAGATTTTTAGCTTTATTGCCTTTCGAGGGCGCTCAGATGATGATCTAATCGAAAAAACACGTTGATTTAAAAATTAAAATCCCACCTTGCCCCGGCTCGAATAAAATTAATCGTTAATTATCTTTATAGTATTAGTCATCACGTTGATTGTTGTAAAGCGTGAAACCTTAATTCAGCAAATTTTTTTCTCTATTTTTATGCAGAGAATCGATGGAGACTTTGATCACCGAGCACAATTATTTGTATTCTCCACTTCGAGCATTCCTGGATCCCGAACGAGACGACATAAACAGCGCCCTGCTGAGAGAGAAAGCCGAACTGCTTGGTATTCCAAGGCCACCCTTTCTATGGCGGACATCTGCAGGCATCCCGTCGTCTTTCGGCCCCAACGATGCTTATTCAGCGCTACTATCTTCGCAGCACAATCTCTATCAGATGAATTCAGCCAGAAGTAATCCACCACCTCTGACTTTAGCACCTCAGATGTGGCAACAATGGGCAGCCGCCGCATCACCAGCAGCACTAGCAGGACTGGGTCAATACGGAATGTTAAACATTTCTTCCTCATCTTGTCAACCCACTCACGTTTGTAGAACATCCGAAAGTACCCAGAATCTAGGACTGCATAGATATATGCCGTATTTTTATTCGACTAAGAAAGAAGGCACCTCACCACAGACTAATGGCATTGATATAGGAGGGTCATCAGAATTAACTCCCAGCACTTTGAGGTGAAGATAATTCTATGTTAGAACTCTGTAAGCACTGTCTTTCATTGTTCAAAGACCGTAGCTCAATTGTATAGTTATTCAACAAAACAATAATAGAACAGGGTGGTGTACAGACCGTAGTGCAAATAATTTATGGAGTTTGATGTCTAAATTCTTTCCGAAAAGAACTTGAAATTTGAGTAGCTAAGAGAGGGGAAAATGCTCAAAGAAAGCCAAAAATATTTGTGACTCTCTCATAATATAATGAAAAGAAAAGAAAAGAAACATTCTCCACCACATATTTTCTAAAAATCGACATTCCAACTTTTATCATTCTTAGAAACTAATTTAGAATCCTTAAAAATCAATTAAAAATACGTAGCCACATAGAAAACGGAAGCACTTCAACCATCCTTAGAAAGAAAACAACACACAAAATGGTTTCACCGACGTCTTTAGTCGTTTTAGAATACCTTGTTAGTATTCATGTGATGTGTTTCACGGACATGAGATTGTATGAAAGATGTACAAAAAGAAAAAAACAAAAAAAAAAGAAAAATTTCACCGATAGTTTATTTCCATTCTTGTATGCTGTGTATATTGAATAGTTTAATATGTAGGACATATGCGGTATATATTATAAATATGTGTATGTATGTATGTATGTATGTGCGTGAGTGTGACAATGCTGTACAATTAAATATTGTTTAAAATCAGCATTGCGTTTATTTCATTTATAAAATACACACATAATAAACATCTTTAAATCTTCAGCACCAAATTTTGCCAAGAAATAAACAAATATTTAATTAAAGAATCCAGATAAAGTTAGATTTTATTAATGTAAATAAATAAATAAAAATTAAATAATCGATATAATGTTTGCCCTTTCAATTTTGGGTTTCTTAATATCATAAATCCTCTTTAAGGTCTTCTTTTACTTAAATAAAAAAATAAAAAATGAGATGAGCTGCTGATGAATAGCATAAATAAGCTTTTATTTAATTAAATCTTTCATAGGCGATTTTTTAAAGATATTTAATACAAAAAAAGGATACCACCAGCATCATATAGTTATCAGCCATTCGGTAATCTTATCTAGACAGCTAATGGTTTACCTGGTTAGTGCGGAGTGGCTATCTGACCACAGCCTTAAGACATTACACAGGTGGTTGAGATTTCATCATTAATCACATCCTTGAGTGAAAAACGACGAGCAATTTGAAATTATAAACCTAGTTATCTATGTCTCACCACTTTATTTCAATAACCTGATAATGTAATGGATTGGTAGAAGCCAAGTACACGATCCTGATCGACGTACGATGACTTTTAATGAATTGCTGATTATGTTGATCGTATGCTACGGATTTAAAGTTTTGTACAGCAAACCCAATATAGTTAGAGATAAGGAAAATTAATCTTTGTAAAAACCTTTTCGTGAGTTCAGGCCGAGCTACAATAATTAATCTATTCTCATTTACATCCAATATCCTATTGTTTATTCGTGTACACGCGGAGGCCTTTAAACTTTGCTTTATAAAAAAAAAAGAAAAGAAATTAATAATAAATATATTCTTGACAAGTTTTAAATGAATAAAAAAATTAATTTTTTTTATCCTTTTAATCATTAAAATTTATTATTTATTGCTAAATTTTTAAGCTGTTTATATTAATCTAAAAATAAGTTAAGTTTACATCTAATCAGCACTTGTACCATACGATAAATCATAAGTATATAACAATTCTACTTTATACTACTTAAATTAGTGAATGAAAATATATGATTTATAGCTTCTTGTATTTGTAAACATAAACAGATAAAAATAACATCATGTTTTCTTTAATTTTATAAATAATGGCGCATTATAGAAAGTTGGCTTTAAGTAAACTAACGTTTTGAATAATTTCATTTAAGATAATTTAATTAATTCTAACGTATTTTGAAATTATTAAATAATTTCGAACCAAATTGTTTTCAATGAAGAAGTGATTTCGAGTTAATCATTGGGGAAATAGAAGATTAGTGCCGCGTAAGGGGCCTATATTGTACAGACCAACAAGGCCCATTGCAGTAATACAGTATATAAGGGATCTTCATCTTCGCCCAGACCACGGAGGTCCCAAAGCGCTCGCAGCACGTGTCGAGAGGGGGAACTGGCGGTCACATTAAGTCTTGTTTGCGGTAGTACAGCTGCTGCCAACTCAATAGAAACGTGTTAGATCGAAGCCTTCGGATTTATGGTCTCATATATCTTCATCAAGTGTGGAGTGAGTCAGATCGCCGACGTCAAGTAGGACAGTTGCTCCTAGCAGCCGGACAATCTCCGGATCTTCAGTTTACCTTCCTCACAATCTTCTGTTAGGAAAACATCCCCTTACTAAAAATCGTATCTGGAAGTTCTTTGATACAGAAATTGTTAAAAATAATTATTTATTAAGCGTATAAAATGCCTCCAGTTTCGTTAAAGCTTCGATGACTGCGGTCTAACTTATTATTTAAATGCGTTAAGTTCGAAGAATTTTACGCTTATGTGATTAAAGAATGTTAAGATATCGAGGAATTTTAATAGTAACAATTAAAATGTTTAGAATATTTTATGCAATTTGAATAAATTAAATCATTACATATTTCTAAAAGACAGATATTAAATCAATTTTTGAGCATATTGACCGAAGTAAACTGTCGTCAAATCAATAATCGAAGCGAATCTAATATAAAATAATTTGTTTTCAGCTCGGTATCGATAAGATATTAATGTAATAAATCGTATAAAAAGTCTCAAATCACTAGCGATCTTGCCAATTGCTACATAAGTTTGTACATTGCTTAGAGCGCAGCCGTTGGCTTCTACATCATAGAAACGGTCGATTAGTGATCGATAGTCAACTGTGATTGATTTGCCTTGTCTCGTTCATCGTTTCCTTTATACACGACCTACATTTTAAATTCTCTAGCTTAAATCTCGCAATTTTCCTCTTCAAAATTATAAAATTAAGATCTAGATGAGAACGATAATGCACTCTCGTTTCGTAACATGATTTCTAACGAGAAAAATTCGATAATATTCGCATATAAGAATCGTCAGATAATGGACAGATCAAGCTAAAGTAGAAGAGCTTTTAGCTTAATGGATGCAACAATGTTAAACGTTATTAGTTTTGTTATACAAACTTTTATCAAATAATTGCTAAACGTTCATATGTAGCTTTTTTTTAAAGCTATCTTCAAAGCTTTATCACCGAGTATAAGTGCCTGTGATGTCATTTCTACGTTTACTCTTAACCACTATTAATTGCTCCCCATTAAGCTGTACAGCTAATAAATTATGTATATATATATATATATACATATAATTAATGAACGTGTGCTGTTTAATAAATGATTATTTAAATAATAACGCTTGTTGAATGTTTAAAGCAAAAGGAAAGATAGCTTAATAAATTAAGTAGGAATGTAAAAAGAAGAAAAAAAAATTCGTATATAGTCGTGTAATTTAATTCCTAAGAGAGAAAAATAATCCTAACTGTATCTTTAAATCGGCGACTTCTGTGATTTTATTTTAAGTATGGCATTCTTTCGGTCTGTAAACAGTAGCTGGTTCTCCAACTGGTTGTAATCAAGTCATCAATGAGCTCTTTAATATTTTTAAGAGCTTTTTTTAATAAAAGAAAACTCTCTTATGACTAGCAACCGAATACTAACCATACCACAAAAATCTCTCGGAGACAAAATGTAGAATTTCCTGTGTCTCAGCTATGCACAGATAAATAAAAACACAAATTTTATTCTATTTTTACGTAAGACATCCGTTCTCAGAGTCGTATCGTACGATTTCGGCATGGCGACTGACTGCACATGTTTCGTCCGACTTTTAGGAATTTCGGAGTCACATACCACTCGTCTCTCAACCTCGTGTGTGGCCTAAACATGATCCTAATTAAACATCGAAACAACATTCTAGCATTCTGCTGGCGGGGGAGGCACTGTGAGGGAAGAAAGACGTGTCCAGCACAAAAGTAGTTTGGTTTGTACCGGACATCGGTTCTGCTTTTCGTCACTACTTTTTGGTGACGACGTGGACCTGTTATCACCCTCGAATAGTTTTCTACCGATATCTATTTCCAAAGTCTACGATTTCTATAATCACACGGAATACGCCTCTTGTCTTCCCAGAAAACACAATCTTCTCGCATCATTAGCAAAGTTTTCATTGTAGCTCCTACCTCGAATACTTAAGATTCAACTGCAAATACTACACTATAAATTACAATTTATTCTTCTAAATTGTGCAATTAAAACAAAAACTTTTCTAGTTTAGAAAGTCTTAAAGTTTAGAAAAGGTTAAAAGTGTAAGAAAATCTAAGTAAAATTTTTTCTTTCAAGCTCCTTAAATATAGCTTACCAAATGCATTTTAGATCATCTTCTAACTTATGAAGTATAAACTAAACCTATTTTTAAGCTTGTAAAATATAAATCTAGGCCTACCCCAAGCTATCGAAGTAGGCCTATAAATCTAATTCATGCCCGCAACTCCCAGAAGGCTATCTTTCTCGAGCTAAGCCTACTGTCAAATTCCACAGATAGGCCTCAAGCTCATAAATGCAACAAATAATCACGTCTCCAAACTTCTATAACGAGAAGAAACGTTACGTTTAAAAAGAAAAATTCCATTTGTTCACACTTTGAAAACATACCTTCATAGAATTGTCGATGGATTAAATATTTTGATCTTTAAAAATGCCGATAACACGAAAGTAATTTACCGTAATCTTTGCCATTAACGATATTTCTCGACTGAGGTTATTCAGTAGTTGTATAATTATTTAAGCTTCTCTCAATGATTCATGTTTCCTGCACGTCTTTTAATCTCATCTTCGACTTTTACGTCTGACATCTCGCACATCTACTTGTCATCATTAGTTAAGTCAAACGTACTTTTGTTTACCACCGACAACGCTAAGAAGAAAGGAGTCGAACGAAAGACGTTATCCAGTTTTGACCGAATTTACTCTTAAAAATCTCACGTAATATTCGAAGTGGCAACAACACACCATTAAATTCCCAGTACGGAAAAGATAAATTTCTACTTTAGGGGGGGAAAGGTTTTTTCCGTGGTGTATAACAAGAAACACGTCGCGATTCATTAAGTTTGCGGGGTAAAAAGAAGACTAATGTAAAACAGATCCGATGTAATCCCACTAGCTTATTCTTCTCAGTGCAGGAGTGTATCTACACAAAAGTCAGTAGTTCGGTATAGCACGTAGCAATGACGTGACCAGC